ACGTCAAAATTTGTAGTGGAGGTTGTTGGTCGGGGGTCCACAATACACATTTAAAATTCGATTCGGGTCCGATTCGGGCAGATTCGAATTTACTGATGAAGGAGCGTCTAAAGTGCCCGAAACGTCGATCCGACATCATGAGCGTATCGGGCGGGCCCCAAAACCTACCCGTGCCAAATTTCGTTCCGATCCGTTAATTTCGAATAATTTTGAAGAGGGGGGCTAAAATCGCCCGAAACGTCGAACCAAACCCCTCACGCAACTGTCCTCGACCCCATCTATCTCTGACCCAAATTTGGTCGCTCTGCGTCCAAGTCGGTCCAACCGTCATTCCAAGAGTAAACGTCCTCAGGAATGGGTCGAAACGTCGATTTGATGGGCGGAATCGGAACGGGCGGTCTAGAAATGGCCCCATGCCAAATTTGAGCCCTTAACTATGGTAAATAAAAAAGTTGGTTCGCAAAATCGTGGGTAATTTTCTTTTGCCCTTTTTGCCCCTGTATATTAAATTGAAGGAACCATATAGGGATGTCCGGACTCCTTTCGAGTATCTCTATCCACGTGCCGGGTTTGGTTCCAATCGACCCAAAATTAAGAAAAACCCTGATGATTTCACCCATTTAGAAACGTCGGATCGAAACTTTGGCCACTTCATCATGTAGCCCGTCCCCAATAGTGCCGAAATCGACCCCCATTTTTCCTCTATATCTAATAGTTTAGCCTACCCTGATGAAGGTTTAACGAAACGTCGGGTCCAACTTTGCACGGTAGAGCCGTGTGCACCATCGCCAATAGAGCCTACCTACCAAATTTGGTCGCGATCGGACGACTTTGACTTTGGACGTCTCTTACGCCAAAACTAACTGTCACAGGGACACGTGTCATACGGGGTCAAGTTGGCCTTGATCCAATCTGTCGACATGCCAAATTTCGTTGAAATCGGACGATTTTTTAGCCAGTGATGATGGGGTTTCATATTGGTCGAAACGTTGTCACAATATCATCTAAAGATGGGGCTCTGCGAGCCCCATCTACGTTCCAAATTTCAAGTCTCTAGGTCTTATAGGGCCGGAGCTATGGCGGTCCAAAGACCCATCTCAAGTTCCACATTGTGCGTCCAACCCAGCGTTGCCAGATGTCCAACAAAATACCTGTTTAATACCAGTTTAATGCCAAATAAAACCAGTTTATTACCAAATAATACCAGTTTATTACCAAATAATACCAGATTAGTACCAAAAATACCAAATTAATACAAAAAATACCAGTATTACCAAGTGCTTGTACAATAAATACCACCCTCGGGTGAGCCACTTTCTAGACGTACCCGGTATGTTCCCGTTCAATCTGAGTTCCAATTAACAATTTGGCCATTAAAGGGACATGCATTTGCATTTCAATAGAAGGGCAGAGATAGCTACAATACGTGACTTCATCGTGGAGAACAAATCGATTAGAAATATATCCACGGGCGTGGAAGTGAATATATGGTCAATTAATTGGCTAGTCCATTAGACCTAGTCAATTAAGACCTCGTATGAGTAGTTTGTTAAACGGTATTCGGCCGGACAGGCTTTCCACTGCAAATTTATATCGAACTTCACGATTCAGCATTCTAAATTAGAAGGGTATCCTCATGTTAACTTAGGAGCCGATAAAGTTTAAATTTGTGTTGGCATTATCATGTAAACGTAATTGCAACACCAGCACGCTGTTGTAACTCAAGATGTATGATATTACCCACAGTTTACAATGTAAAGTTATGCTTTCATCGAATTTAAATTATCGATTACTGGCCGATGTCTTCAACATTGCTCTATTTTCCTACGTGTTAATTAATAGCAGTTTACATTTTTAATGCGAGTATTTGCCCTCGATAATCTATCCTCCGCTACCAAATATGCTTCCTTTTAGTGTTTATTGATTATGTTTTTTGAGCAGTAATTTATTTACTGTGTGACATATAAATTCAAACACCCATTAATAGTCTAGCTATATTCATAAAGTTGTGTCGGTTGATTGCCGTCTTCTTTTTTGTTGCACATACGGTGCTTCTACTCTATGTATCCTTGTCGAGGACCTATCGTCCGCGCACCAAATTTGAACATTAATTTTAAAAATTTAATTTGTTGCCACGCCCTTTCTTAATCTGAAGTTCAATAAAACACAAGTTTACTTAATTAGGATGAGTTACATAGAGGCCACTAGCTTTTTAATTTTTAACAGCCGGGTGGTTGGTGTTCAAAGATATTAATAAAAGGGCGCCACGAGATTATACTCTATGAACTCGGCAATAAAGATGTTACTATTAAGTAGACTTCAACACTAACCTCGAACTGTTGAGTGCAACTATCATGAACTTCAAATATTCTATAACTCGTTAAACGTAAGTGACTCTAACTTAACTATGAGACTAGACTGTAAATAATACTACTAAAAATATTTAAGCAATTTATTAAAATATTAAAAAGTTAAATATATATAAAAAAAAACGAATGAAATGTAAAATGTAATATGTTAAGAAATTAATTAAATAAATATAAATAAAAAATGTTGGAAAAGAAAATGGAATTTTAAATTAAATGCAATAACTAAACCTATGACGTCAAACCCCCTTATCTAACTTAATACTAAATACAATCAGGGTAGTTTATACCCATAAATCAAGTCTAAAATTATACTAATATCTAAACGATCTTACTCTACAGTCTTGAAATTACGTGAAACTTCCTCCGGGTGAGCTACAGTGTATAGCTATGGGGTGGCTACAGCAGGGTACAGCAGCTCGGTGTACTGTCACTGGAGCCCACGGATGTTAGCAGACGTACGGATGCCGGCCAGGTGTAGGACTTCAAAAGGTGAACATAAAAAACCCTAAATAATATTGGTTGTCTTAGAAAAGAGCCTCAATTATAGAACAAGGACTAGCACAACGTGTAGGAGTTAATAAAGGTAATAAAGAAGGACTAATCAAATCTGAACTTTACCTCAACGAGGGTTTATGATGTCCAACGGGTAACTCTACACACGGGCAACAGGAACGGATGGAATTCTGGACTGTTCTGTGCTGTACGGTCTGGATCAGTCTTCTTGCTCTACAATTACGAACAACCAAATAAGACTTAAGAAAGATAACACTCAACTAATCTTTCTACACCACGTGGGCGTGGAAAAGTCGAAAACCAGTCAACAATACGAATAAAAATCAGTTGAGCATTGACTTAGAATAGGCAGAAGAATTATAGCATACCTTGGAACTAGTCGGGGACTTCTTGGGCACGTGGAATCGGGATATCGGTCGGAAAAATTTGGCTATTTAATCCCTTACGGTAATTGGTCGGTGGTCCATGTAAACTCAACAAAATCCAACCACGTCTCTGACCAAATGTGTTTCGGAAGCCTTAATCCTTCTTTATGAAGACCTGCTATTTATTCACCAACAGAGAATGCTTCACGAAACGGCAGCCAGTTCTTCACGACGATATTCTGACGGTGGATACACAAGAAGTGATGCAAGGATTCGATATCCTTCACAAAATCAGATTTCGACCGGAAATCTCCCTCCAGGATATAGATAGGGAACTATATATCTTAACTAGTCCAACTCACAAAAAGGCATAAATAAAAAACGACGATCTAGTATATTTTCTCCTCAGCCATATTCCATATCCGGTCAATGAACGAACTAAACTCAGAAATTCCACAATTAAAAGAACGAATTGCACACTGCGATCCACATCAAAAATAACCAATTTAACTACGAAATTTTATCTGATAATTATAAAATTTCAATAACCAAAACAAAGGATAAATAAATCCAAAAACATCTGATTTGATCTGACAGTGACAAGTGACAGAGGTGATGATCAAAGATATAGGGAGATGGACAAAAAGCCTACTGCTGGTCGGCATCAGTGACAATATATGTAGAATATCGCGGTGTATATCGGGTTGCATAATTGTAAAATTTAAATAAAATAATATTTAACAATAAAATTATAGTAAACATGATGCAAACATAATAGCTATTTGCGATATTTTATGAGCTAACACACAAAGGTCGTTGCGAGGAAATTTGACTGTTACATTGTAAAATGCTTATATTTGAACAATAAATTGAATGTTTACTGTCACAAAAATTAAATTATATAAAAAATACAATTAACCACTCACAGAGTATTTAGTGAGTATTTAGAAAGTCCAACGAAAAAAAAATAGAAATATAGTTGCACAGGCGCAAATGCTTATTTTATTGAAGCAAATACTCTTGAGTATAAGCCAATCATTATTATTACATATCAACTTGAGTAGATGCTTATACTCCGACCTGTTAGTCTAAGCTCTTGCTTGGAGCGTTTGCTCATACTCATGAGCCTTTTGCTTTCTTTTTATTCATACGGGCCATTGTGCTATCCATTATATTTTGTATTTGATGAATTTATAATTCTTTCATTAAATAAAAAGCGTATATGCATTACTTGTTTCTATCAAAATTAACCTTTTTATTTATTTATAGGATGGTTTTTTTTATCGTAATATCAATAACGTAGTTTATTAAAGTAGTTTTCATGTTAGTTAATGAACGGGAAAAGAGGTAGTTTTTGAAGGGAAACTACACGTAGTTAATCAGGTAAAGTACGTCTTAATTAACTACCTCCGAATCCTGGTTGCCACATCTTCGGGTCTACAACGTCTACGTCACGAGGTAACTTAACCTATGAGGAACCTATCATAGATAGATATCGATTATCTGATTTGCAGCATGGCATTAAGAGTTACAGAATGTCAAAACTTATGTGCGTAGCTGCAACTCACTATTAAATTGTTAAGAATTCCTTTTTTTTAAGAATTTCTTTCAATAAATTTGTTTTAAAATGTCACCGATTATTATTCATATCATATACCTACATATACTGGTTGTTTCGATTTCTTCATAACTAACCTATCACAGTTACTACTTTCCGACACTGTAAATTATAAAGAAAAATTCTAATTTTCAGCCAGTGACCTTGACTCGATAAGGGCCTTGTTCAATGAGAAGGAAAAGGAATTATCTTTGGCCGTGGCTAAAGTGGAGGAGCTGACTAGGCAGCTTGAGGAATTGAGGAGAGGTAGGACGAATAGGGACCCACCACCAGCCTCTGCATTGGAATTGGACAAACTTCGAAGAGAATTAATGGTAAGTTTTATAAACATATCTATAATAGAAAAATAAAACAAAAACTTAAATGTTGCATATTTTAATTTATTATTATTTTTTAAACACCTGTATTCTAAATATCTCCAGGGTGCGTTATAATCATTGCCTGGAAACTTATATGGTGAAATTTTGATAAAATAATTTAGTACACACTAAAAACACGGTATGTCGCTAGTGATAGGAAAAATAATTTTTAGAGGTTACTATTTTATTTGGTTGCCTGTAATATGCATATACAGGGTGTTTCCTAATTAATCTAAAAAATAAAACAATCGTTAGAAAACGAATTAAGGAGGGCTCTTAATAAGTATATTTATTGTTTTCTCGACAACCGTTTGATGAACAAGAAAAACTCAAAACATCAATTTTGTTGAAAAAGGATGGTCAGTCAAGAAAAAAATATATTTTCTTTAAAAAAGCAGTGATGTACCATTTATGTTAAGCAAAAAAATCGATTTTTTTAAAATTTTTAAATGTATATTGTCAACTTGACAATGACTGCTGATAAATCAAAAAATTCGCAGGAAAAATTTTGATTTTTATTGAATTTGGGCCTGCGTTTGCAAATACTCGTTTGTTTTTTAATTTTCTATCTATCTAAATTTTAAATATCATAGTCAGAAATAGTTTTATTATTTATTAACTGTAAAAATGGTGTTTTCTTGTTGTGTTGCATCTTGCAAAGAAACTAAAAAAACTGCAAAAATGTACGCTTTTCCAAAAGACGATAAGGTATGTATCTTAAGGAGGGTCCACATTTAGTAACATGTTATATAACATTGCTATTTAAAAAGCTACATATAACATGTTAAAAAACCGGGAGCCGTCCACATTATAGTTTTCGTAGTCATGAATCGTTTTGGCGAAAAAGAGGTTCAGCTCGCAGCAGCAGCGTGCGTAATTATTTTTGAACTAAGGGAAAGAAAGTCGAGAAAAAAAGCGGTTTTGAGTCTGCCATAGCCTACCAGCAAGATCTAGATATACAGTTGAACTCAATTAGCATATCTTTTCAATACTTGCCTCGGCTGTTTCTCGTGGTGTCGTCTGTCTTTTAAAAACATTAATAATTTACAGTACGTCTCGTCTGCTGGATCTGCGTCTATGAAAGGAATGCGGACAAAAAACATTTAAATAAACAGCAATATATTCTATACGTCGATTTGACGAGTGCGTCACCGCAAATCGCTCCGCCCACTCATTTTATTGGCTACTTGCAAATTTGTCGAATTTTTATTGATGGGATGCGTCGTCTATTTTTTACGAAAAACATCGAGAGAATATCGTTTCCCCTCTCACGGATACCCCGTAGCTACAGAACGGACAGACGCACACTGGTCGAAATCGCTACTTTACAGTGCAAATATTAGGAAACCCTAAAGATGCGTAGTTGGCTGTGACCTATGAAATGCAAAAAAGGAAGGTCTAAAGATGGCGCAGGTGACATATTTTTTTGCGAAATAGCTGTCTTTGTTGTATTTTATTAATTAGATAACAGGTAGTAATTGTATGAAGTCATACACGAAAAATTGAAATAATATTTAATCATTAATAATGACTGCAATCTAGTAACGTCTGCAAACGTGAATCAACGTGTTTGTGATTTATGTTGTTTTGCTAGGAATTTGTAATAGTTAGGACCAAATTTTGGTGAGCAAATAATTTTTTGTCTATTATTTTTTCAACAAAACTGAACTGGTGATTAAAACAAAAATTATATTTCTTTTCTTCAGGTTTCGCAAAGGTAAACCATACCTTGTCCGGTCGTGTTCGATACAATTTTTTTTTCAAGATTTAGAAGGCTTTTTGGTAAGACATTTTCTTATATAATTAACTGCTACTAGGTGCACGGTTCGGAGTAACACACATTTATCTAATAGATACGTCGTTGACAAGAAGGGAGCTTTATGAAGTTTGGCGACGGAAAAGTGGTCTTAAATAAAAAAATTCGGCGGTCCTTTCATATGCTATTCGCCGACTTGGTATAGCCGAAGACAAAGAGACAACAACCAAACCAAAAGTATCTTGTAGTGAAGCGCACAGCAAATAGTTTCACTAGGAAACTGCAATAAAAGTGGGAAAGAGTCTTATAGAATTCGAAACAAATAATTCAGATTGGTTAAATGACAACATAGTTTTTGATCCAGATGAACAAACCAAATTTTGTTAATCTAGTGTTCTCTTTCTGTTATCTCTAGGTTTTTTCAATAATTATATTTGCAAGAGAAAAACTTATTAATTTTTAACCCTTGTGTCTAAAATCGTCATTTTTTTGACGATAATAGGAAGTACGATTTTAGAATTGTAAAGTACTCGATGAGACCTTCAAAATGATGTGCATCTTGCACCTCTTTTCATTTAATATTCTCAGGGTAACATTCACCCCTCCTAAGGGGTTGAAACATGAAGGCTAACATTTTTATTTGTATTTTTAGATTTATCTTGTCATTTTATGGTATATTCAATATAAACTAGGTTAAAATTTTCGTCTTACTAATATCGAACATTTTTTGCATCGTAAAGTAGCGATTGCGACCAGTGTGAGACGTACTGTAAAAGCAAAAGCAAACCATTTTGAATTATCCACTTCATCTAAACCATGCAGTTCCTGATTTGCATTTCTTTTGTTCCCGCTGGAACTGGCCTATTAGATTACGCATTATTTCTCAACTTTTTCTGTTTCCAAATACACACTATGAAATGAAAATCGCTGTCATTTTATATGGAAAATTATATGGGGAATGTCATCGATCGTCATGTCCAAGCCAACTGGACGGGAGGCCGACGGGATGCAGTTTTTTTTTCGATCATATGGTATTATTGACCAGTAAATAAACAAACCAATATCAGCTCACCACACTAAGATTCTGTAGCGCACGTCCCTGAAAATATGAGCGGCTAAACTAGAAATTTAGCAAGTGTGGACGCGTTGTTTCATGTTACAATAGCAATGTTGCACAACATCTTTTGATCTTTACCGACTACAAATGGATAACATCTAGCAAATTATATAGCATCGAAATTTGCTAAATATAACTAAAAAATATGTAACATGTTATATAACTTTGCTATATAGCAGTGTTATATAGCAAGTGTGGACAGTCCTTTAGATAAAAGAAAATATATGGTATGTATTCGTTGTTTGATTTTTTTTTCGTTCGCTTTATAATCTATAAATCTCGGTCTATTCATTAGACAGCCAGTCGACTTACGATCATTTACATGAAACTCTGTGAAATAAATAAAAAAATAAATTGTAAAATAGGTATATATATATTCTTATGTTTTATTAAAGTTACTCTGATATACTAATATATCAGTGTAACTTTAAAAAAAATCCTTTGAATTCAAATATAAACATAAAAAACATATTTCCTGTTTCATGTATTGATCTTGTTGTAATTTTATTTACTACAAAATAGATGTTAAATTTTTTTTCTATGTAAAAAGAGTCGAAAATTTATGTCAGTGTTTTCATAAAAAGCGGAAACATGGCTAATAAACCAAATTTTATCTCAGCGAGAAAGAGACAAGGCAACCTGCCAACGTTTAGCAAATATATTTTCCATTATTCTGTTATCTGTTTTAGAACATCCTGTCTTGCTTCTACCACAAAAATTGAATTTTCCTTTTTTTATCCTCTTTCTTTTTTGTCGCGCTATAAAGTACCTACATCCGGAAAAGCGGTTTTTGCATTTTTATACAGGGTTGTTGACCACATACGACACGGAGTATTGTAGCTAAACGATGAGATTTTTACAAATTGTAAGTTTGAGGTTCGTTGAAGGACTATTAGAGCTACAATTTAAAAATATTTTTACAAGATATAGAGTGTCCCAAATAAATAAAAAATATCAAAGTTGTATTTTTTTAAATGGAACACCCTGTATATTATTACATTTTTAGTTTCTACGATTAAAATAAAGGTAAATTTGATTAAGGTTTATTATACATAAACCTTACTGTTTTTGAAATATTTTCAGTTTTGTGAAATTGCAGTAAAAATTTTAAGGCTTCATTTCTGCAAGGGTATCAAAGTTTTTAATACTAAATATTTACTGAAGTTTATTTACTGATCAGTTATTGTGTTGCAATAATAAAAATAATACTACCTTATACAGAGTGTCTAAAAATTTATTTTAAATAATTATTAGCTTCAAACGGCAATAACTTGTTTAATTTAAATGGAACACCCTGTATATTTTACGAGAATCAGATGCACAATTTAATTGTCTATCAAATTATATATTATACCATTTTTTACCTATCTCTTTAAGTTTTCGTAGAAAATGCATTTTCTTGTAATTTAGAACTTATTTATCAATATACCCATGGACTATTGACATTTTAGATTATTTTTAAAGATGTACCAAATTTTTAAAGAGTACAGATACTAATATTGTAGATATAATTCGTTTATTTCATTAAAAAAATAAGAAAAAACTGTTTAAATATTTGTTAAAGAGGATTAATTAATATGATTCCAGTATTCAAACTACATTAACTGACTGTTTGCATTGATTAATAATAATTGCTCCAAATACTAAAAAACTGAATTTTGTATGGGCATTAGACAGTGTGATAAAAAGTAGCACCTTAAAAATGATATTTCATTTTTTAATAAATGCTTATTTATAACAACAGAGACTTTAATTTGATAACTTATTATTATATTGATTTCTGACTCACATCCACATTTATTTATAATAATTTATTAACGAACACAATTAAGTATGTAATTAATTAGTATATGGGCGGAAATAATGGTATTATATTAATTAATGGTATACTCTTTTATAAAGATTTAAATAGTTTTCTTTTTGCATACAAATGGGCTAGTAATATTATCGTTTTGCTAAAAACGATAATATTACTAGTCTGTACATTTTGTACATTTGTTGCTTTAAAAACAATCTAAAATATCAATATTCCATGGATATATTGATAAATGAGGTCTAAATTATAAGAAAATGCATTTTCTACGAAAACTTGAAGGGATAGGTAAAAAATGGTATGATACAATTTGATAGACAATTTAATTGTGCATCTGATTCTCCTAAAATATACAGGGCATTCCTTTATTGCCGTTTACATAACAGGGCAAGTTATTGCCGTTTGAAGCTAATAATTATTTAAAATAAATTTTTAGACACTCTGTATAAGGTAGTATTATTTTTATTATTGCAACACAATAACTGATCAATAAATAAACTTCATTAAATATTTAGTATTAAAAACATTGATAACATGGGAGAAATAAAGCTTTAAAATTTTTACAGCAATTTCACAAAATTGAAAATATTTCAAAAACAGTAAGGTTTAAGTATAATAAACCTGAATCAAATTTACTTTTATTTTAATCGTAGAAACTAAAAATGTAATAATATAGAGGGTGTTCCATTTAAAAAAATACAACTTTGATATTTTTTATTTATTTGGGACACTCTGTATCTTGTAAAAATATTTTTAAATTGTAGCTCTAATAGTCCTTCAACGAACCCCAAACTTACAATTTGTAAAAATCTCATCGTTTAGCTGTATAGATGAAACTAAAAAAGTTTCTTTGTGAATGTATTTCTAATTTTTTCTGTCAAAATAAACTCGTGAAAAAATAAAAACGAAAACCAGGAATTTCAGATTTCGGCCATACTTCCGGACATAGCAAATTAAGTTCAATTACTAAAACTAAACGGATTACCGTTTTCGAGACAGCAATGGCGAGAGCCGGATTTGAAAGACTCCGTATAGGTAGAATTTGTATAGAGATCTAATATTTAAATGAAATGAAGTTTAAGATAATCAAAATAAAATGGAAAATACTGAATTAAAAATTAGTCTTTTTTTCTCCATCCATAGTATTTTATCTTTCGAGATGAATTTTTTTGTTTGATTTTCTTCTTTGTTGCCCTTTATTTTCTTCATTACCTTTAAAGTAAATTTTCGTCGAGTTATCTGAACCGTTGCAAAAAGAAGGTGAACTTTTTATCAAAGAAAAGGTCCGTTTTAACTGTTCCTGTTGCTCCTTGATATCAAACTGGAATAAGAGATAAGATGGGCAAGGACGTTGCTTAGTCTGGCCTCCTATCTGCCATCTTAATAATGAAATGGAGCGGGTAAATACTAGAAGCCCTTTTAATAAAATAAAAATGAATTCCTTTATGCAGAATATTCTACCGAGGAGAAATGCGATTATGACTTTTATTAAGTATTTTATACCGATTTGGTCATCGAAACTGTGCGCCTTGATTTTAACGTGTGATGTAGACAGCTTAATGGAAAATCATGGCTTTAACTTTCAAACGAAATTTTATTTATTAGACATTAAAATTGGCAACAGTTTCAGCATCTTTGATACGCCAATTTTTTTATTTCTCTATCGGTTCTTTTTTTTCAGTATCGAAATAAATTAAACGAGCAACAAAATCAAAGACTCAATCAACAACGAGAGGCCCTTACCGCTAGGCAAGAGGAAATGAGCGCAATCGACAAGAGGATATCGGAGTTACAGGAAAGATTGCAACGCAAGAGGCACCTCAATCAACAACTAGCCAGTCAAATCAGTGCAGCTTCCCATAAAGCTGCTTATCAACAGTTCGTACGGTAAGGTTTAATGATTTTATAGATTGTAGATTATATGCGGGGGAGGGGGGAGAAATTAAATCATAGCGACATTATAGATCTATTGTGTTCCTCTTCAGAATCTAAAGGAAAAGCTAGGCTAGGTTAAGTCCGGATTTTGCCCGGATTTCAGAGCTTGCTCGTCCTGATCTTCCAATATCTTTTATGGAAAATTCGCTAGTGAGACTGATATGTGAGAACCCCAACTTAGGCTGTATGTCGTCATTTTAATTTCTGCTTATAAATATTAATAGAGAATGAAGAAATGCGATGACAAAAATTGTGACTGGATCAATGACTGCATGATTTTTTGAGATCTAACAAAAGCCTTCGACTCTGTGAACAGAGATGCGCTTTGGGCAATTATGAAAAAGTTCGGAGTACCCAACAAATTTCTTACAGTACGTAAAAGCCTCCATAACAACAAGTCACTTAACTACTAATATAGAAATTTAATTCTACGCTGTGTTTGTCATAATGCGGATCAACCTGCTCTCACTACCGGTTTCGGAGCCCTACTCCATCATCAGGTGAGCTTGGGAGATCCACAAAATGACAACCAAAAAGCAGTTAAGTGGCAAGAATCCTTATATAATTTTATTATATACCTCTACTGCAAGAAATTTGTTTTCTATTTTATAATATGGCTTGCCTGAAAAAAAGTCTTTTACCATCCTTTTACTATCGATAGTTGCGCCTCGGTGGTACGAAAGTACTACCATTGCACGCAGGCCGCTATCTCCCGTTCGGGACTTAATATCTAACCGATACTTTCCGACAAGTCGGAATTAACTATCTCTGCGCTGTGGTTGTCATTTTGTGGATCTCCCAAGCTCACCTGATGATGGAGTAGGGCTCCGAAACCGGTAGTGAGAGCAGGTTCATGGTACAAAGAATACAAGGTATGATATTGCGCAGGTTGGTTGCTACGTCACAGGTGATAACAGGCGCTATTGGTCAGCACGCCTCGCGCGCCAGTTCAAATCGTCAAGATATTGTTATAAACCTGTTTTTTGTTTTATATACCGTCATTGAATTATCGCTAAACAAGTTACTGTGGAGCAGTTCATAAGAGTCGGGCTAGGGAAGCGAGAGACCGGAGTTCGAATCTCGGCCGGGACATAACTTTTATTTATTTTTTTAAATACTGTTGTATTCTATAGTTTATTTTGTAGTATAAAAAAAAGAACTATTTATTCTGTGATTTTTAATCTCCGGTATTAATATAAATTGATTGTTGGTACAATACATCATTTAATATAAAATAATATTCTACTTTTTGAAATGTATCGGGCCCTAATTGTACCTAAAAGTAAAATATATTTTTACTGATATACCATATTGTAAACTATTTAATATTTCAGTCACTTAAAAAGTTAATTTGCATTGAATAATTGCCTACCATCAAAGGAAATTTGAGCTATATAATCCTTGATGGGCATCTTCCTCTAAATTTTGGGTTTCGTTCAACCGATTTATTCTCAAAACCTGAAACATCTACATATAAAAAGAAGCACAGGTCACTAATTATAATAAACTTCACCCTTGGAATTACTTCCACTAATTATAATAAACTTCACCCTTGGAATTACTTCTATCACAATTACAATACATTCATCTGCATTGGCATTTTCTACTGTTCAATGGGAAACAATAAACTTTCCAACATTTTTTAAATGATCTAACAATTCCTCTTGTGGTTACTTTTCCATAGATATCCTAATCCAAATGAAAAACAAAATTGTTTTTGGAATTAATAGAATTATGGAAAAACTCTATTAATTCCAATAAACGAACCTCCAAAGTGGAGCATGAGTCTCATGATCTACAATACGTCTATTATAAATATAAATTTATAGAATATGTATTTCTTTTGCATAATCAAAATTGTCACTCTAAATTTTACATAACCAAATTGTCACTCTAAACCGCTGTCTTTTTTCTACCAATCTACTTTAGGCAGAGACTCTTTAGGTTTGCACTTAATCAAAATTCCAAAGTTTTTTTATTCTACGAGCTACAGATGCCCAACGCACTACTGCCCGACCCTATACTGGGTGCGTCTCGAAAGTGGCTCACCCCCATATAATTTTTATTTTATTCTGGTATATTTCGACCCCAGGAACACGTCTATGAGGTTTTTTTCACCAAAAAAAGTTGAAATGTTGAAAATCGTGCATTTTCTTTTAAATTTCCCTGTATATTTTTTGAAAACTTTTTAGAACTGCCTGTTCACCGCATATTTTCCACGGTATAATTTCTTAATATCTGATATTACCATAGTTACGGCTTTAGTCTATGGTTACGGAAATAAAAGGGATGCAATTACAGAAAAAAATCCGGTGGCTCTCAAAATTTTTTCAAAAAAAATCATTTTTTTTATTTTCAAACTTAAATAACTCGGTTATTTTGGACTTATCTGAAAAAATGGTAAAGAGAAAATATGTTTCTTTTATCGAGATCTACCAACCCTGAAAATATTTGCACTTATATAAGACTCACCCGGTATATTACTTTTTCGATTTGGGCCCCCCTAAAATAAATTCCTGCATACGCCCCTGTTAGTATATGACATAAATTAGGAATGATTGACGTATTCCATTATTTCCGGTTTCACCGGAAATGACTACAACACTGAAAAAAAGGATCTCTCAGTCGAAATGAATATGACTTTGACCCAAAAGATTGGCGCTTTTCAATAGGGCCAAGAACGGTATTTCTTTACCCAAAGCATTAACTATCTTTTCATAAGCTTTAAAAAATTACTTTAGAGAATAGAAGAATCTATCTGTCCAAAGTATTTCACTTTTAACCCAAAATTAAGGTAAATGTCTCTTACCTTCAAATATAGCAAATAAATGCTCTAATTTCAATTTTTTCAGAAACTCCTTTAAAGAATCCATATATCCTAAAATTTGTTCATAAAAAATAACAAATGCATGTTAATAACGATCACTAATTTGTTATACGATATGCGTTTAACAAGCAAATTATGCAAAATTCCAAGTGGAAAATTCCAAGCAACAAAACCCGTACGTACTACCTATGATATGCGACCTATGAAATGCGACGTACGACTGATCGGACTGATTGTATATACCGTCCTTCGTCATCGTCTTTGCGTGTCATTATTATTTTTCATCAAAAGAGTATTTAGCTATTGGTGTGCTATTGGAAAAATGGCCATGTTTCTTGAATGAAGTACTTCCTAGCGTATTTTTCTTATTATCTTAAAACAAAGTAACTTGCACTTGGTTGAATGAAAATAGATTCAAGAGAAATTTTCGAATTTTTCAAGAGAACCAGTTTTCTTGAGTTAAGAGAGTTTTTCTTCAGGCAAAATATTTTCTTTTACGCTAAAATAAATTCTCTTGCCACTAATTTTTTTTTTCAAGAACGATGACGGCTTTAGTTCAAGTCTATCTTTTTTATCAGTGAACTTTTGATTTTTAACGGCACCATTTTTGATGGCACCCTCGGTATTTTTTTACTTTATTTGATAGAAAATTCTGAATAGAATGACATATAATATGTCAATTTTTGACATTTTCGCAAATGGTTTATTTGAAATTATAACATGCCGTTCATAACGACAATTTGACTCGAAATACCAAGTGTGTGGTATCAAATTATTCGTAAAAAATGCTTTTTCCAAATATTCTAATGAGCCACCCTCATTCCATTTGAAAAAATTGAGAAATAATTAAAAATACGAATTGAGCATCTTAAACGGCCAAGGCTAGGACCAGACACTAAACAAATTAGACGATCAACCCATTTTTCCAAGGCTCCTGGATTGAAAATTAGTGTTTTTAACACAGCCATGGCACTATACATTGAAATTTAAAATACAATTAATTTGTTTTTGAGCGAATACATCAAAAGTTGACATATGATATGTCATTCGATTCAGAGTGTCATTTTCTGTCGAATAAAGTAAAAAAATACCGAGGGTTCCATTTAAAAACCAAAAGTTGTAGTCATTTCCGGTGAAACAGGAAGTGACCGAAAACAATTGAATACGTCATTCAATCCTAATTTATGTATTATACTAACATACCAAATCTCGTTTTTTTATATGAAAAAATAAAAAAGTTATAGGGGGTGAGCCACTTTTTAAGACGCATGTTTTTTAGTGTTTTTTTTTTAATTTGAATTGAAAATTAAATAATTTCCTTACATTATATTCTATTTCGTTATTCCCTCTAAAACTAGACCATCGTCTGGCGTCAATGTTTCATGACTTGCAGTTGGTTAAGGTGGTAAATCAAAACCCAATGCAGATCGTACAATTTCCGATCGAGGCGTTTCAAAGTTCTGGCGAATTACTTCGAACAAAATGCGCTCCGTTCGCAATAAAATTTTATTTCGAGTTTCCATGGAAAACTTGGCAAATATTCATTGGATTCCTGTGTCATTCGGAGCTGTCTGTTCGGATTTCGTCTGCGTACGTAAGCCTCCGGACGTCGATGTCGATTTAGCCGATATAAAGTCAGTAAAAATATATATCGATGTACAGGAGTTTCTCGTTTTACGCTGGGGTTACTTTTTTGTTTTATCCAGGCTCAGCGTGCATTAGAAGCTTCTAGAGAACCACAACATCTAGCTCGGAGGTTTTTTGTACATCATAGTTTCACAACGAGATCTATCGATTAAAAATATTTTCATTATGGCGGCACTTCCGGAAATACCGGAAATTGACAGTAACTTTCTTATTTTAAAAAATGCCTTTAACTTCAGAGCTAAAATCGATTATATTTACGCGATTAAGGGATAGGGTTCCCATAAGGGACATTGCAGATGCATTAGGGATAAACAAAAAAACAGTGTTGTTGGCTAAATCCCCCAAAAAAAATTCAATATAATTCAAATATCCTTATAGACCAGGAGTTCCGTCTGGGACTACTAATTCTTGTACTACTTTTTTTTTATCGCAATGGTACATAGTTTATTACATCCAGATTTGCAATTACAGTAAACCA